TTGGCTGTGCCTATAAACCTAGCAACAACAAGGACAAACCCCTTTCTTTCCCAGTTACCTGCCTTGGGAAAGAAGAGATCTAAAGGACAGGGGAAGCGGGTGTTCACGTTAAATGCTAAGAGCCTGGAGTGAGGGAGGACAGGAGTGGAGGAGAGGCTGTCTAAAGGCAGAAAGGGTTCCCGTCTGTCTCTTCCTTTTCCCTCCCCTCCTGTTACGGTCTATATCTAGATGTCCTCCAAGTGTCTCCTGTGCTCATAGCTGGGGCTTGTGAAAGGTGACTGAATCATGGGGGCGCCACAGCTAAGTGCGCCTTGGAGGTGGGGCCTGCTGGGAAGAGGTGGCTGCTGGGTCGTGATATGGAAGGGTTTATCTCTCTCTCCCCAACTCCTGTGTTAGCATCCTGCTTCCTGTACACTATGAGGTGTCTTCTTTTGCTCAGGCCCTTCCATGAGCTGTTGAGCTTGCAAGGACTGCAACGTCTATATTGAGAGCCAGTAAACCGATAAACCGCTCCTCCTCTGAAGTGCAGGTGGTGTTATTTTGTCCCAGTAATGAGGAAAGTGACTGTGGCACTTGCCCTCCTCTCATCCTGTGCCACTAATGAAATGCGCGGGTGGGGGTGGGATGGAAGGAGTATGTGTTGAGCACAACAGACACAACAAACATCTCAGGGCTGCCACCTCTCCAAATCTTCCACGGTCTCCCTCTTTTCTTCCCCTCCCTCCCTCCGCTCCTAGTGTGCTAGGCAAGCTCCTGCCCCGGGCCATGGCACTCAGTGTGGAGCTCATCTTGGGCTCCAAAGCGGCTTGCTCTTCCCACCCTCCAGCTCTGCTCAAATCTCTCCCTTCCCAACCACCCCACCTAACACTGCCCAGTCTCCCTTTCATCTTCCGTCCTGATTTCCCACAGCACTTCCAAACTCCTGACATATTACAAATGGGTTTACTGTTTCTGCCCCCAGCCCACTAACATGTCAGTCCCATAAGGACACCAGTGCTGTAATCATCACTGCCTACAACAGTGCTTGGTCTGATACTGAATGAAAAAGAAGGGACAGAGAGGTGGTCAGAGACCAAGTGATTCTCTCCAACATACCAGAGGGAACTGGAACTAGATACTCTCGGAGGACTTGGCCCCAGCAGTTAGGCCCAAGTGGCTCTGCTTACCACACCTACCCAGACACAGGGCAGACTTTCCAGAAAGGAAGAAATGGTTTCAGTGAATGAGAATAGCCAAGCAAAACAAATCTTATCTGCAAAAGTTATGTGTTCTCTTAGGAATAAACAATGCTATGATCGTGTTAATTCATGTTTGATATCCTTGCCTTTGAAGTCACCAATTAGAGAGAAACCTGAATGTTTAAAGCCTGAGTAGCATGTGAGCAGGCCTCCCCTCAGAAAGGGTAGGACAAGTTTCCAGGATTTCCAGCTCTCCACCCTCCTTGCTGGGGAAAGTGCTAGTCTCTGCTTCATAATGCTCTCCTGTAAGTGTAGATCCATAATTGCTGGGCTGCTGCAGATACAGTGACCAGGAAAGCAAGTCAGTCATCACAAGCAATAGAAGCTGTGGGTCAAGTGTCACTGACTAATCAACCTGCCATTGGCCAATTACCCATCCCCATGAAGAGGTGCCACTGATCTGGTTTCCTATCAATAAATGTCTATCTGGGTACATCAGCTGCTGGTAAGTACAGCCTGCCAAGATATCTAGTGTCGTTCTATCAGGCACTGGTGCCTAGGAAATCTCTCTCCTTTTCTCTTAATAATGTCACAGAAGAGGCAAATGCGGTTCCTGACAACATAATGTTAGTTTCACCAAGACGTGTCTCTTTAAACGCTCGGCTAGTTATACAAAGCTTCAATTGCATGGATTTTCTTACTAAAAAAACAATAGCTGGGCTGAAGGAAATTTGGAGGCTTCATACTGTGCTGAGATATACGATTCTGCTTTTGGTTGTGTTCTTGCTCATCATCCTCCCCCGAGTTAGGAAAAGAAAAACTGTTTGGGGGAACCGTTTTCACTCCACATTTAAAGAAAACCAAATGGGCACTGGTTTCTCCTGCCTTAAGTCCCAGACACATTTTCCTGGAATCAGATTGCACATCTCTGATCTCTGGTAGAGGTAGGGGCCAATGTGGCCTTGTGCCATGAAGAGCCTGTTTGTCTGTTTGAGCTGTCACCCTGACGACAACTTCGTGAGGTCCCTGCTGGATCTAAAATTGTAGATTTCTTACCATACCTACTATAATTTCCCCTTCTATCTTGACAGACTACCTCATCGGCACATTCAACCTGTCAAAAAGCTTATTCTCAGTTGTCAGAGGCTTTATATATTAGGCAAGGTGGGGAGGAAGCAGCAAGTAAACAATTACACTACAAATGCTGTGACAGGAATTACATACAGAATATATGGGATGGTTGAAGGAAGATGTCTCAAGAAGCCCAGGAGACAATGGAAGACTAGAGACGGAAGACTAGAGAAGCACTCCTCAAGGGTGACGTCCAGAAGCAAGAATGAGAAGAGTCGGTTAGGGCAAAGCAGCACATACCTCTCATATAGGAACTTGGGAAGCTGAGGCAAGAGGACCACAATTCATGGTTAGTCTGACAAGTTAACAAGACCTTGCTCCAAATTAAGGAAAAAAGTGTGTGTGTGGGAGGCTAGGGATGTAGCCCCATGGTAAGCATGAGGCCATGGGTTCAATCCTCAGTACAAAAAAAAAAAAAAAAAAAAAAAAAAGAAAAGCAAGA